GCAATTTAAGTTTCAGACTGTTGCTATAAGAAACAGTGGTATGCAAGTTTTAGATTTCATTTCAAGGCATAGTCTGTAGTGAAAAACATTCTAGCGTATGAAGGTCAGCGAGTATAAAACAATTGTCAGTTTATTTCTTTTTGATGTCATTGTTTTGAATACAATGAAGAAACTATCCGTTAAGGAGCTAATTGACAGCTTCATACTTTTTTAGGCGGGGGGGGGCAATGTTTTGAAGAACTGTTGAGTTTGTACATTTCATCCTTGAAAATCTGTCTTTACGAAACTTTGTTCATGGCAACAGCTGAAGACTATTAAAAATATTTTTTCCCATTCTCCGTTTTAATCTGTTTAGTGGGAAATTAATGGACAGTCGAACGTTAAACGGGGAAAAAGTTGCTTTTTCTAGAACTTTACCTTTAAGACTTCATATTTTACTACATATATAATGCCTCAAGCATCTTCGTGGCTTTTTAGGGGTAATAAACAACTTTGCAGTGCATCACATTTCTTTGTTAGCCCAGAAGGGTTATTAATTTCGTTGTGGCATTTTGCGTCGACAAACTTAAAAGCCTGAATCGCTTTTCAAATTGTTGCCACCAAATACTATCGCCCTGTGTTATATTTTAAGAAATTAAATAATAAAGAATCTGCATAAAATGCATTGTTACGAATTTCTTATTTACTTATTTATTTTTAGTAGAATTGTAATTAAAATTGTTATATTTCTTCGTGCAATGCAGCGCGAGACGAATTTTAAGAGAAGGGTACGCCTGAAAAGTAAAAATACAAGAGCACATGCATTTAACATTTATTAAATAGATGTCTCGTAATTTATATTTAATTTGAATAAATGTAACTGAGTACAATGTTAACTGCAACCGTAATTCTACGCTTTTTGCTTTCCAGAAATTGGTAGAACTCTCTCGTGCGGTCGATTTAAAAAGCTATAAAAGTCAGAGAGAGAACATCTCAGCTCAGTTGTTTACTTAGTTTGTTGTCTTTGATTGTAGCGAATTCGTAGTGAGATCGGATTAACTTTCTCTGCGATCTGGATTGCGTTCTATTTAACGTTTTAGTAGTTTAAAATATAGCTGCTGATTATATTGCGTGAAAATAAAATTTTACTAACTTTTAATCGGACTTGTACATTCAATCTATTACGAACCCGTACGCACGGAACAATATGTATGTTCCTCGCATTGCGATAAAAAAACAGTAGCCATCCAGTTTTGAATAACGTACATCTCCACCCGAATATGGGCATCTGTAAGTCAAATTTGGAATTTGTTTTATTATCTGTTTCATATTTTGTAAAGCATTTGGGATTTTTTGATTAACAAACTTGACAATTTCAAAGCGAGCAATGGCAACATTGTGCGAAAAAAAAAACATTTTTATCTCCAGCGCGCGAGACTATGTATCGGAAATTCTAAAGATATGCTCAGTTTTTAAAAATTTTTTTGCTATATTGCTGTTAAACTGAATTTTATTGTTTAAGTGCAAAGAGCATGATATTTAATAAATAAAGGTAACACACAAAATGTTAAAAAAAGTCCCTTTAGACGTAGTTTAAAATCTGAAACCTTTCAGGGTTTTTTTTTTTTTTTTTTCTTTTCCAATTAATGTCAGTCAGCATTGTAAATAAATAGCTGCTGGTGGCAACTTTTTTGTTTTAGGTTAGTATAATTGAGACGACATATTATTGCCCCGTTAATTCTTTGATTGATACTGAAAAAAAGTTGTTGTATTACATTAAATTTAAATCATGACGTCATGTGTATAACTTGAAGTGCTAAAAATTTTTGTTTTCTGATTCGGCAATAGTAAAAATAATACTCAATAAATAAAATAAAATAAAATATAATACTCAATAAAAAAATTATTTCCGAATTTGTTGTTGGTTGGAAAGAATGAACTAATTTCTTTCATATTGAAATACTAGCGACCCGCTCCGGCTAAAGTATTAATGGATATTTTAAGAATGAATCGCAGTTCATAATCTTTTTCTAAACTTACATACCTCACCTTAAATTACGATTTTTGAAAATAATTTCCCTAATATAAATTGATTTAAACTCTAAATTTTAACCAAGATCTTAATAGAAAATTCCAATCCATAAATTATGGTTTTATTTAAATCTAATCTTATCTAACCTTATGTACTTATAATTACTATAAGTGCGATTTAAAAATTCATCTACCTTAGAATAGAATATCATTTATATTTTAAAACTACTACCATACAATTATTTATCGTAACTTACATAATAACTGATACGTTGTCGTTATTATGAAGTAAATAACTGATACGTTGTCGCGCTGAAAAACACGTATTTATTAAGTATATTGTTGTTTTCCTCGCTAGAGTGCTCCGATAATAAACGCGTCCGATCGCTGCTAAATTCAAAGTGCTTATAGAGAGAGAACCGCGGCCTCCGACGCGCTATTTATAGGCACGCTCCCGCCTCCCCGGCCGGCCGGTACCGCCGCAAACGCTACGTTCCTGCAATTTTTAAATCCGTAGACCTTTTCAGTGTGTACAATACTTAGTACATTATTTTGATAAACCTCGTAGGGTTGCGTTGCAATGTAAGCGGAAAAAATGTAATTATTTACGACATCACATTAGAAACCTAAAAAATAACAGTATTTCTCCACTATTTAATGGATGTTATTATACATATAAACCTTCCTCTTCCATCACTCTATCTATTAAAAAAAACCGCATCAAAATCCGTTGCGTAGTTTTAAAGATTTAAGCATACATAGGGATATAGGGACAGAGAAAGCGACTTTGTTTTATACTATGTAGTGATTTTCATATATTTGTTTTTCAGAGGTACATAGAACTTAGAAAATTTGCTTTGGCTGCAGTCTGCTCATCTGGAGGGCTTGCCCGCTAGTATAATAGAAACTTTGAATCAGAAAAATCCCTTTTTCATCTTATTGACTGTTTAATTTTCTGTCATGTAATCTTCTACTTTCAGGTCTCACTACATCATGACAAATGACAAAGAGCTTGTAACCCATACAAACTACGTCCAGTATAACAGCTAAAATAAATAAATAAGTGAAAAATCGCCTTTGCATAACAACAAATGTGTAATAATGAATTGCGTCCAATTTAATGCTAAAGAAAGAACATTTCTACCTGATAAGCATATCGTATGCAGATAGAAAAGTATTTTTGGACTGTCTTTCACGCTGCAAGACCCGACAGGAGGAAAAACGTTTTCCCCTTTGACCTTGAAAAATGCATTATTTCATTAATGATGCTCGTATTTAGACAGCATGCAGCAGCAGTTCCAACACCATTTATGTTTTTTTTTAATCCATTTTTCATCTTGCACAGGAAAAAAAACTAGGTGTTGCCATTCGAAAATTTTAAATGCTTTCACTATAACCGTAACCGTGAGAGCTATAATGCTTTAAATCATCACAATCCGGCTCGCATATCTTCCAATAATAATATCTGAAATTTCATTTCGATTGGTTGAGCGGACAGGCGGCTAGGGGAAGTTTTTTCCCCGGTCACCCTGTATATAAATAAATGGTCAAAACAGTAAACACATTGTGATAAAGGCGTGACTAAACAAACCACGAGGATAATAGTTGAATGAATCGAAGAAGTGAGGAATTATTTACGGATTATTTCCATCTGACTGGTCGATTTTAATTTGAATGTTATGACTTTTGTGCACTTACGTAATTGCGAATTTACTTAGTTCAAGTTTCTCTCGGAAAAATGAGTTTTTTCAGAGTTTTAAAATTTATATCTGGGCTGATTAAAGTCGTACGAAGATGGAAACCGTCGAAATGGCTTCCCGATTTTTTGGAATCAGGAATAATGTGTTTAAAATTTGGCAATGTTACCTTTATTTCATTGTAAGAACTTTCTTAAGTAACCAACTCTACGATTTGAAAGCGAGTTCCAACGCTTCGCGAAATAAAGCAGATTTTCATCTCCAACTTGCGAGACTGTTGCCACTCGGAAAAATGAGGGCGAAAATTATCGTTTTCTCGAGTTTTTAATTAATATCTTTGATTTTAATTTTTTGGGGGGCTTGTAGGATTCCTACTGATCTGGAACCTAAGTTCTGCTTAGTTATGTCTGATGTTATTTCACTTAGTTTTAACCGTAAATTAAAATCCACCTTTTCTTCTTTCTTATCATGGTATTTATTTTTTAACGTGGAAGAAAATCCTTGTTCACACAAATAGGTTGTGCAAAAAGAGAATAAAAATTTAACAGCTTTATTTTAAAATGTCTTTAAATTCTTTTTCTCGGTTCAACCAAAAGTTAACAAGAAGTGTGTTATTTTTGAAATCTTCAGCCAGAGTTCGATCACAGGAAATTTCTATCAATTGTTCTCTTTCTTCATGAGATTTTTTAATTTTATTATTTAATTTTTGAATTTAATAGTTAAAAATACTTTGCTTCTTTGCGTACCACCTATTTTTCTCTTGCATACCACCAGTTGAGAATCGCTGCTCTAAGAACTAATTTGCATACCGGTGAAGAATGCGGAAAGAAGAAGTTATAGTACAGATTGAAATGAAATCTTCACTTCTTAGATTGCATTTAATGACGGAATTTCTATTCCATCAGCCAAAAGAACTCAGAATTGATTGTGACAAATACTCTAAAAACAACTTAATGAGTTTTGAAAAAACGTGGGTAGATAAAATGTTTCTACGTGTGATGGCACAAAAGCCGTCCGAAGAAAAGTAATTTGCTACCGCTACTAAATTTCTGTTTCAAAGAAAACTGAAAAGAATGTAACTCATGAAGTTCAGTTCGATAATCAGCCAACTGCAAAATTACAACTAATACACCCTCTTTCTCTGCCCACATTTTAATACTCCAATTAAAGGCTTCGTTACTCTCAACGACCAGCAAATAAAAAAAAGGGGTCTACTTTTCGAATGCTTTATTTTTCACAACCACCCCCTCACAAGCGCCTAATAGTCGAAAGACGTTGGTTAGCCCTGTTTGGTCCGTCCGTTAAATGGACTTCTTCTCCATCTTCTTCCGTAACATACCATTCGCTCATCAATGCATCCTGAATGGCAGCAACTGCGTAAAATATGAGAAGCCGCGACTCTCATTGGTCCGAGTGGAATGACGTCACGTCTCCGCCGCTTAGTACGGAAGGAACATCTGTAGTGGATGTCAGTGAGATGCCAGTCAGTATCAGAACTGATCCTCTCCCGACCTCGTAGTGCACGTGAGACTGAGCGAACTTCGAATCCAGTCAACCGGTAAGCTATCCATCATTTTACAGACGATAGGATTGAAAAGAATGCCATTCCATTGACTGTTGGTTTCCGCGATATTTTTTTTAACTGAATAAACATAATTTTTGATGTTTGTTTAAATAAAACAAGTATTATCGATTTCGTTTATGAAGAAAAAAGTACAATTAGCTATTAAAATCGGTCAGATTAAAAAAATCGCTTTAAAATTTTAAATAAAATGCAAAAATTATTTAAAAAATAGTAACTCGCTTCTTAGAGAGCAATGAAGGTTTCTTTTAATTCTATTGCAAACAGTTTCTGTCTTGCGAAATTAAATTTATTTGTATATTCATTGAAGCAGACCTAGAAATGAGGATTAATTTTGAAATTAAATAAAAATATCATTCTTAAAATAAAAGTTTTGGAGTAACAGGTTTTTAATTTTTAAAAAAAAAAAAAAAAAAAAACGCACAGAACCCTCTGCCCCCCCCCCAAGAGAGGTATAATTATTATTTTTATGTCGTTCTACGTTTTATATTATTCCCAAGTTGTGTAACTTTTTCTTGCTTTTATTAAATAAATAAATTATTGATAATCTGCCTACTAAATCAAACAACACTATATAAAGTATAAACCTAAACTTAAATCTTACTTTTATGAGTTATCTATTTACATACAGTGGCTCACAAAAATGATCTGACACTTCGAATTTTTGTTCACTTTAATGAACGAAAAACTAAAATAAATTAAAACGGATTAAAGAATAAAAGCTAAAATAAATTAAAGAAAGGCTTTTATTTTGATTATATATAAATTCAACATTCTTTTTATAGTAGATACATTTTTCAAAAGACGAAAATAAAATTCACAAATCAATATTGTTTGTTTAATGAGGAGAAACATTCTCACAAAAATAAACGGACACTTAGTAGCAGCCAAAATGACAGAAACTTGCATTTTTTTGCTGCTTAATATTTTGTGGGATTACCTTTACACTAGATCATTTCATTTAATATTTTGGTCATTGGATCCACAAGTGTTTTGTTATTTTTAGACTTATATTATGCAACTTCTCTCGACTCGCAACTTTCCAGCTGTTGCTGCGTTGATATTCTCTGTTTTCGAATTTCTGATTGTAGCTCCTGTCAAATGTGTTCGATAGGATTAAAATTTGACGATTGAGGTGGTGCTTTAATTACTTCTGGACACTTATATAACAGTCAGAGTCTAATATTGTGCGCAGTCTGCTTTGGATCATTGACCTGGTAGAATTTAAAACTATTTTGTATATTAAATTCTTGTGGTGACGATGCCAAATTTTGCTTCAAGATGTCAAGACACTTGTACTGATCCATGATGACCATGTATAAACTCTATATTACCAACTCCGGAATATGCCATAGATCACCATTCCATAACTCCTTCTCGGCCTCGTATCTCTTGCTATTAAGTTTTGTTTCCAAAATTCTTCTTTGGGCTTTGTACACAACAGCATTTGTCTACCTGCGCCGGAGATGAAAAATTTGCTTTCTTCAACAAACAATACATTTTTCCAGTAGTCAGGTATCCTTTGTTTCATCGATTTTACGAAAGAGAGTCGAGATTTTCTATTGTTTTTACGGACATAATTCTTTTTCTTGCTACTCGCCCATGATATCCTGCAGATCGGATTACTGTTCTTAAAATTTCTGGATTTACGAATGTTCCATATAATTCACATAGTTCGCAACAAGTTTAGGAGCACTCAGTCTTGGATTCGTTTTAATATATCTTAGAATAACGTCTTTCATTCTCTCAGATAACTTAGATAGTATTCCAGATTTGAATACGACTCTGTTTCCCATAGCCCTGAATAATATCAAAAACTGTAGAATTACTTAAATTACGTAAATAGGCAATTTTCTACAGATTTACGTTTCTTTTAATGCAAATCAAGAACTAATCTGTGAATTTTTAAAAATGTTTCCTTTCGTGAGCGAGCCATAGTAAGAAAACATTAAAATAACGAATATTTTCTAAAAAATAATTCGAATTATAAATGCAAACGATTTTTAGGTTGTTTCCTAGCTTCTTTATCCAAATTTCATAAATTTTCGTGTTTTATTTATTGCAGACTATTTTAATTAGAAATTCTGAAAATGTCCAATTAATTTTGTGATATATTTTTTTTGTCCATTTCAAAATAAAACGTAATTTTATAATTTACTATTTACTTTTTTCAAATTTATTTAGTACAAAAAGGGAGCTAGGAAAATGTGCATTGAAAGAAGAAATATTCTTTATTATTTTATTTCAAAGTTTTTCTCCTGTTATTTAAAAAATAAATAAAAAAAAACAATTATAGTGCTCGATCATTTTTGTGAGACATTGTATACTTTCAGCTATCGATCATTTTCGTCAGCACATTGTTGTGAATATTAATTTATGGAAGGGAAATAATAAAGAAAATCTATTTGTCACTTTTTGTATACTTTTGTGTACTATATTTTAAGACAGTGTTTCCCAAACTTTGAATTTAGATAGCATAGTGATCCACATGCTTAATTAGTTGCGACGTATTGGAATGTAACTAGTTAAGTTTAAGAAAAGAGGAAAAGAAAGAAGAGATCCACAAGAAAATAAACTGATAATTAATTAATAAAATAGAACTACATATAATTATTTAAATGAATCAATAGTTATGAAATTTATTAATTTTCAAAAATATAAATATGGTCATCATACTACAAGGGGGGAAAATATCGCTTCGCGAGCCACTAAAAACCGTAAGGCGACACACACTTTGGGAGACACTGCTTTAAGGTTGTGTAATTTAAAAAACAAATTACACTATAAATTGTAAAGGAAACCCTATATGTCCTAATGGTAAATCCAGAGATTGCTTTTTCAGTATTATTAAGCAAAAATCATAGGCAAATGTCCATGGAAAGCCTGAAAAATTTATTATGAAAGTAGACTTTATTCGAGATTCCAGTTAAAAGTTCTACATTATTAGTACAAATTTTATTCGAATATATTTGAAATTTTACTTAGACTATTTTGAATATATTATGTGAATATGTTATGATTACTATATTATCAAAATTTAATTAGTTAAGATTTATACTCTTTTGTAATTTCATGGATTACTTCTGGTTTATCGTTTAACGAAAGCATTTTGAATTGCTTTACTGCTAAAATGACGAGTAGAAAAATACTGATTAATTTTTCTACTGCAAACGTTACGCATTTTTAAAGATCTATATTTATTTAAAAGAAAAAAAGATTTAAAAAAGTATTAAATAATTATTTATCCCATTAAAATTTTTACTATTGGAGGCTAGGTTTTCAGCATTCTGGAAACGCTTTTAGCAGCTTCTTTAATCAAAATACTATTCTTCTGTTTTATAACGTTTTGAAATGGCTTTTTAAAATTTTGAACATTACGATTTTCGTCTTCCTGGTTAGCAAGTTAACTTTCTGGTTAGTACTTTACTTTCGAATTAGTATTTTGTTCTAAATCAAAAGCAAAAATTTTCAGGTAATTATTTTGATTATTTATTAATGATGTCTGCTAATTACTCATTAACGCATTCTTTTGATTAGTCTTTATTCAAAACAATGGTGGCGAAATTCTGTACCCATGGCGATTAACTGAAGATGCGTTACGCTACTTTAAGGCCGGGTACAATAGTGTGCTTTATTTAGCCAAGATTTAGAAATGCGATGTAGATACATGTGTTAGACTTATTTTAGATTAACTTTATAAATAGGTTTTTAGATGCAACAATACTGAGACTAAATGCAAGAATGCATATACAAGCAAATGAAAATGTCATACAGTTTTCAGTAAAATGCAGAATTGTTCGCAAGATCGCTATGGTGTGATTTTCATGAAAAGATTTCTGTTATATTTGTATGGTACACAGTAAACAGGTTTTAACTTTTTTTAAATATTTTTAATTTTTTATACCATTAAATTTAAGACTTAAAAAATGCAATGCAAAGACGATACTATGAATTTTAAAAGATTCGAACGTAACTATGGATTTAATGTGGAAAAAAAACCACTTTAATTGAAGATATTTACAAAATTTAGAAGCAGTATAATTAAAAAACGATATAGATTACTTTCAAAACATAAAATTCTTAAACAGAGTTGAGTTGTAGCTGGTATTACTCAAACAAACTCCCACCTTGCAATTTGTAGAATACCTATAAATTGCAACAAAAGTTATAAATCATGTCTATTGGGAATTTCAACACATCGACCAGCTCTAGTGACAACATCTGGGACTTTGGGTGATGAATCATCATCTTCACTGTAATCTGATTCATTAGCTGCGGGGCGTAGCTAATGAATCTTCGTAGTTACGCCCCGCAGTTAATGATCTTCGTAGATCTACGTAATCTTCGTAGAGACGTAGCTACGTAATCTTCGTAGAGACGCTTTTGTCCCTTCGAGCATCTTGAGCAATGAATGGTAACTTTTCCGAACTGTTGATTTCTAACGGATAAAGTCTCTGGAATGGTCTCAATCCTCTCCACCAGCTGTTCTCACTCTGGCAACTCTTGAGTGTTCATCTGCTCCAGAAAAGACTTTAGGATGACGATTCCTAAAGGCCAGTTGATACGCTTGCCATCAGTTTCTAGGAGAACGACCTCCCCAACTCTTAAAAAGTCTTCCTGGCTCTTATCTTTATGAATCAACATTGCAAAATACTCATTCCGAAATCTCATTCTTACATTCTGCCTTAATTTTTGTACAAAACGCAGTCTTATATTTAGGCTTTTACTGTCGATTTCATCTAAATCAATTGTTTCACTGCTAGGAATACCTTGGAAGAAACAAGCGGGAGTTAATGGCTTCAGACCTTCCGAATTGTCTTCAATATACGTAAGTGGCCTAGAGTTTATTGTAGCTTCGCAGTCACATAGAATAGTTTACAACTCTTCATAGTCAAGACGTTTTCGGCCCAAAATTCTTCTTAGCATCTCTTTCAACATTCTAATCACGCGCTTTCACCATCCTCCCCACCGGACGG